TTCATTTGAAATTTGGTATAATGGCAGCTGAGAGCGAACCCAAACACGTTTTACTATAAAAATCAAGAATTTAAATTGGCAGCAGCCTGGCAGACCCCATCAAATTTTCTCCAGGAACTTTCTAGTTCATCATAATGTTTTAACAAGTTTTTTTTTAATGTGTTTAATTTGTCATGATTTTATGTGTACAGCATTTTATTGCAGCTGGTTATTTAAAAGAGCTTTATAAATAAATTATTATTATTATTATTATTATTATTATTAATAATAAATGCTGCCCATTTGTCTCTTTAATTGGATATTTTAAGCTACTAATAAACATGATAGATGATGATCAAATTGCTTTATGTAGGCTAGGCCATAGGTAAGAAGGAGTGATTATTATATTACCATTTCATATTGGCTAGTGGTTCTTTTTCTCTAAAGGTTGTTTCTTAGACTGTGGACAGTAAGGACAAAATTAGTTAATCTACTTAATTATGCCACTGCTTTATATGTAAGCCTATCTATTATTTTAAATTTAGCCCATATTAAAGTGAAGTGTTGTCACATTGTATGTTCCCATACAATAATGAAATTAGTTCTCTGCATTTAACCCATCCCACATGAGATACACCCAGGTGGAGCAGTGTGTAGCTATGTAAGCATCTGGAGAGCAATTAGGGACTCTGTGTCTTGCTCAAGGACACCATGACGTGGGCACGGCAGAGAGTTGAACCTGCAACTTTCTGTTGCCAAGTCAGCTGCCCTACTTCTACACCATCTCAGCCTCCTATTGCAGTTATTTTCCTCGTCGGGGAATCGAACCCCGGTCTCCCGCATGATAGGCGGGCATACTGACCACTGTACTAACGAGGAGTCAGGGTTAGGCTGCATTTCTTTGCCTGTGGATGGAAAGGTGATTTGTACTGTATATGATAGGCCCACCTTGTGGATAGTGAACTGAAACCATGCACTTACCTGGCACCTAATTACTAGATACTTGATAGTTACTTGGTACCTTTTAACTTGGTATAATAAAACAAATTTTCTTTTGTCATTTATCAAAGTTTTTGAATTGCTATTAGTCTGACCCCACCCCTGAGGCTAATTTGACATGGGATACCCTTCAAGGGGCTAACTCCCAGTCAACAGCCCCCAGGATCACAGGGACACTCAAACCCCTCCACCACGTTAAGGTTGCAATTCTGCGGAGAGGACCACCGAGCCATCTTTCTTTTACTGCTTCTTCTTTTTTGGGTCATGGGTGCCCATATCCAGCAGTCACTGTGTGTGTGCAAGAGGCTGCAAGTCCATCACAAGGCCACATAGAGACTAGACAGGACAAACAGCCATTCATGCTCTCATTCACACCTAGGTACAATTTGGAGTTAACAATTAGCCTAACATGCCTGTTTTTGGTTTATGGGAGGAAACTGAAGTACCCAGAGAAAACCCATTCGTGCACGGAGGGAGCTTGCAGCTCACCCAGAAAGACCCTGCTTTACCAACGAGACACCGTGCCACGCTTGTAGATGTACCTTTGTGAAAAATGAAGTTATAACTTGCACACCGAGACAGAAGCAGAACAGAACCAGGAAGGAAACTGTCAAATTAGAATAACTATTAGTCTAATGTTTGATTTTATTTTTATTTTTTTTTGAGTGGGAAAAACCAGAGCATCCCGGAGTAAACCCTGACTTGCACCACCAGTTAGTTTAACTTTTTTTTTGAGTGGGAAAAACCGGAGCATCCCGGAGTAAACCCTGACTTGCACCACCTGTTAGTTTAACTTTTTTTTTTTGAGTGGGATAAACCGGAGCATCCCGGAGTAAACCCTGACTTGCACCACCTGTTAGTTTAACTTTTTTTTTTTTGAGTGGGATAAACCGGAGCATCCCGGAGTAAACCCCATATGGTGGGACTAAATGCAGAGAAAGTAAAATAATAGGAGTGGTAGTGTGTCAGCTGTAGGTGCCCAGATAACATTTCTTATGACAGGAGGTGATGAACCTTGAATACTCTGGCACAGAATTTTCTAAAAGTTCTGAAGCGCTTGTTCGGCTTAACAGCATGTGAAACTGTGTTTGGCGTGTTTTCTGCTAACTCTTCCGGCTGTAGTTCAGATGTAGCAGAGGGGTCATTTAAAATATTAATGCCAGGTGTCGCCATAACAGGACCAGGATGCAAGACGTTTGTATTGTTCCAGCTCATGGATAAGTCTTCTGTGCTCCTGTCTTGACACGTTGACATAACCTCCAACGCCTGTTTCACATATTTATTTTTGCTGCGTATTGGAAGATGCTTCATTGTGA